GCCTCACCTGGGACCACCCTCCCCAGCCTGGCCATGGTTCAAGAGCACGATTTAACCTCATCTGTGGCCCTGTGCCCCCTCCCTGAGCTGTGCTGTAGAAATACTGCTCTGTAATCCCTGCTCTGGTCCTGCCTTTTGTCTGGATCATGAGCTTGTGTTGTAGCTGAGCACCCTGCCCTGTCTCCTCTTGTTTCTGAGGGAGTTTCCTGAAGGGACCTTGTCCCTGGTCCATCCCTTTATTTGGGGCTGTGAGTGGACCCTGTTACCAGCACCTCTTTCTGTCTGCTGGGTTCAAATTTTAATCTTGAACAACCTCTTCTTTAGCAATATTTTTTTGTTTGAGAATTCCCTCGAGTTTACTCTTCCTTCTGACCACATTTCCAGTGTAATTCTGCTAATAAGTAAACTGAGTGTAGATGACTGATGGGGTTAACTCACACGGGGTTCCTGTAATCATTGCTGTTTGTGGCTGAGACACTGGGGCTTGGCCTAAGAATAAACCAAGCACGACTGGTTCCACTGCTGGGCAGAGCTCCAGAGCTCCCCTGAGGGTTGATTGCCCGTGACTTTGTGCCACTGGGTCTCTGAATTGAGGCTGAGCAAGCCTGTTCCACCTCCCCTTGGGGCTGAGGTGAGAGCATGAGCACATTCTGCTGCTGTTTGGTGTGTGGTAACTCATTAAACCTCACTTATGCTGGGAACTTCCTGCAAATTTCAGTGGAAACTTCCATGAAGGTTTCCATACCAGGCAGAGGCTCAGCAGACCATTGAGGGACTCCATCAAAATCCATCTGGGCTTCAAAGAGAGGAGGGCAGAGGTGGGAGTAGAAATGCTGTTCAGTGTCTGAGGGAGACTGGATTGCATCTTCTCAGGAGCCAAGGCTCTCCAGGGCACGAATGAAAACACTGTGAAAGTCCACCGCCCTCTTTTCCACAGGCAAAAAGGCCTGCAGGGTTAAAGCTACTTGAGGAGTGATAAGGGATCTAAACACTCTTTGGGCAGAATTCCCAGCAGATGCTGTTTGGAATACCATGGAAAAATTGAATTAATAATATGTAAGGGAACCTTGAAGTCCACTTGCTGTAAAAGTCTGTCTCAGATTGAATATCAGCATATCAAGAAACAGTTTTTCCATCATGTAGGAGGGGAAAAAAAGAGGACAAAATTGATTAATTGTCCTCCTATTGGAGGACCTAAACATATACCAGTGGAAGAACAATCCCAGTTTATTTTTGTTATGGTTAATAAAGTCTTGGAACAAAACAGTTAATAGCAGCAAGTAGCTTAAGTTAATAATTAAGCACCCTCAGTGGACAGCTCTGAGCTGTCTGTGACAGGATTTGAGCCTTTTGGGAAGCTTGTCTGGGGGGTTTCAGCACTGGGCAGAGTCTGACACAACCCCAGCCTGAAACCTGTGACAGAGCTGGTGCCAAAAGGATGGAGCTGTTGTGCTGGTATCAGAGCCCCTGCACTTCGCTCATCAGAGGAATGGAGGAAGAACAAATTAAATAAGGTAAGTAAAACCAGAAAGATTCCTGAAAAGAATAACAAAATCAAATCCAAATGATATTTTCTTCACCTGCATTCTTCCCAGCATTCACTTGCACCAGGGTGCTGGACTCTACCCCATGCACTTTGCAGTGTGTTAAAAAGTGCAAGAAATACAAAGTGGTTTCAGTAGGTCTTGTGGGTCCATAAGTTAGAAACCAGGTTGGATGGGGCTTGGAGCAACGTGGTCTGATGGAAGGTGTCTGTGCCCATGGCAGGGGGTTGGAACTGGGTCATTGTTGAACCAAAACCATTTTATGATTTAAAAATGTGGCTAAATTAATGCACCCATGCTTTTTCCATACAGAGGGTGAAGGCAGGAGAAGTTGACAGTCTGTCTTTAGATGTCAGAACAGTTCCTGACATGGACTTTATAATGGAAATGTCTGATATCTCTGGCTATGACAGCAAGTTAGACCTGGTCTGCAAGTACTCAAATGTTTATATTCTTAAATTATTAGAAGAGTTCACAGCTATTGCTCCCACAGATTTGCAGTGAGAAGAAAGAATACAGAT